AAAAAAAAAATCTCAAAGAAGTTTTTGGAAGGTCTCCGGGGTTGGGAGTGGAGAAAGCCAGCTCTACCTGCTCCAAGATATTCCAAGGGTGGGACCTAGAGAGTTGTATTTTTCCCAAGCATCTCCAGAGGATTCTGAATCACACTAGGATTGAGAAACATGAATTTAAGGTATCTCAAGGCCTTTTCATAGAAGAAGTAAGCTCTTTTCCCAGGCTTTTAAATACCAATTTCTCTAGAATATTCCTTGATCGTTTTCTTTTATTGGAGACACAGAGATTATAAAGACATTCGGAGGTAGTATCCTCACTTTTATTCATTTCTGTGGGGGGAAACCATCTCAGGTCTTTGTTTTCAGTCAGATTTCATTTATTCTTATCTACTTTGAAAGGAGATCATGTCATTATTCACTGTGATGGCAGGAATCTGCCCTTCGTGGTCTAAGTGATCTAGGCATATACCCACAAGAAAAAGACAAAAATGCTCACGGTTTTATTTTCTTTGCTGGTATAGATACCTAGGTAAGGGAATGTGGGTTCTATGACCCTAAAAGAAAGTATAATAATAGTCTCAAGAGGACAGACCGAACTAGCAAAAAGCTCATTGTAGATGTGACCACGCTGCAGGACAAGCCAAAAAGAGGAAATGAAAAAAAAAACAAAACATCAACTTCTATAGTCGTTTGCTAAATAAGTGGCCTGTCATAATACGATTTGAAATGTTTATTTTAAATTATTTTTTCACGACAGTAATGGGGAAGGATTAGTAGAAAAGGTAACTAAGTTTTAGCAAAAAGAGGCAACAGAACAAAGGAATGGCTAACTTTGTTCCCTGGTCACAAAGTCACAAAATTTAATATTTTTACCAGAAGGTGCAAAAATAGACTTTACTAAACACAATCTCATCAGACACAAAATAAATGTCTGAATCCAATTTGGCTCATTATGAATTCATTATGTAAGAGCCATTTAAGAATTCATTCTTCAGCTAGACTGCAAGTGTTGTCCTATAGATTAAAGTCCTCTGAGAAATAATTGTGTTCCTCTTATATGTACCACACATGTCTTGAGCACTGCTGACCATGTAATAGGATATCAAAAATGCCTGTTGGTTAAATAATTGAATGCTTTTCAAAAAGCATTCACTGTGAACTCACACATCCTAATGAAATTTCAGTGCACTAAGTTAAAGAGAAAACTCTTAAAAGCTTCCTGAGAGCAAAAACAACTCATTTGCAGAGAAGGGAATCATACTGGCTTTCAGATTCTCCAGCCTTAGGCGGGAATACAATGGAACAATGCCTTCAAAATGTGAACAGAAAGTGGCTTGGAACACAGAATTCTAAACCTAGCCAATTTATCAGTCTGCAAGTCAGCCTGAACGAACTCAATATTTACCTCCCTTTCTGGGAAAAAAAAAATCACTTGAGCATATGCTCTAAGAAAATGAAAATAGAAATAAAAAAAGATGAAGATATGGAATCCAAGAATTAATGGCCACAACTCAGAATAGCAATAAAAAGAATCCTTAGGCTCTTGGCTGGGCAGCAGGCATAAAAGCAACTGGTTAAAAGTAAAATACATAGAAGACTTGCAGATGAATGTATTTGATAAGAAAATGGGTTTGCTGGGCGCCTGGGTGGCTCAGTTGTTAAGCGTCTGCCTTCGGCTCAGGTCATGATCCCAGGGTCCGGGGATCGAGCTCCGCATCGAGCCCCGCATCGGGCTCCTTGCTCTGTGGGAAGCCTGCTTCTCCCTCTCCCGCTCCCCCTGCTTGTGTTCCCTCTCTCGCTGTGTCTTTCTCTGTCAAATAAATAAATTTAAAAAAGAAGAAAAAAAGAAAATGGGTTTGCTTCAACAAATAATATGACTTAAGAGTTGCATGAACTTAGTGATAGAGTGAAGGTGATTGTTTCCTCTGTCAATGAGAAAAGACTAAGGCAAACAGAAACTCCCTGAAAAATGAAAACCTCTACAACAAAATCATGGCCTCTGTAAAACAAATCACATGTAGCATGATTCTGAATAGCATATAGAGTTTAAAGAGTGATAAACCGTTCAATCTTGGTATTGGAAATATTCATTTTGGACCTATACATACTTAGGAAAAGACTTTCATTTCTTTTTTTAAAAATTACTACTACTATTATTATTATTATTATTATTATTATTATTATTATTATTATTATTTTAAGTAGGCTTGTGGAGCCCAACGTGGGGCTTAAACTCATGACCCTGAGATCAAGACCCAAGTTGAGATCAAGAGTCAGATGCCCAAACAACTGAGCCACCCAGGCAACCCCATTTCCTTCTCTACAAGTCCAACTACATTTCTTGATTCTGCAGAAAATAATACTTACAACAATTAGAGTATTTTAAGTGTTCCTTACTGGATTTTAGTTTTTTTGAATCAACTTGTATACAACACATAGAAGACTTAATTATAGTTCCAAAACAGAGGGGAAATGTTATGAAACTTCACAATGTATGAGTTATGAGATAGAAGGGGAAGAGAGGGTATGAAGGGGTATGAAAGTGTAAGGGTGTACATATCCTCATTTTTTATAATGAGGACTTGAAGATACTAGCTAAATTTGAATACTTTAGGCACTATCCAAAGTTGAGAGAAAGTATTTTCTCTCTATAAAGTTATAAAGTAGAACTACTTATAATACAACTAACAAAATTTTGAGGAAAGGAGGGAATCAGAGGTAGTGTGAATGAGCTCAATTCCTTATCTTTTTGCTTAAATTATTTATTTATTTGACAGAGAGAGAGAGAGCACAAGTAGGCAGAGAGGCAGGCGGGGGAGAGGGAGAAACAGGCTCCCCGCTGAGGAAGGACCCTGATGCAGGACCTGATCCCAGGACCCTGGAAACATGACCTGAGCCAAAGGCAGACACTTAACCTACTGAGCCACCCACCATCACAATTCCTTATCTTTGCTAAGTGGGAATCAATAGAAACTTGTGTGGGATAGATTGGATCATTGTTCCCAACTTTCTGCTCCCTCTTTGTAATAGATTATACATCCATACTCTTTGTCCATATGATTTTGTTGTGCCTTCTGGTGGGGCATAAATAGTGTCATCCCTACTCCATTGACTCTGGCCTTAGCCATATGAATGATTTTGAACAAAGAAATGTGTTTTGGTTGCTTCTCTTTAACTATGGCCCTTTGCCATGGAAAGAGCATACCCCAAGTGATAGACACTCCTTTAGCCCAAGTCCCGAAATTAGAAGATACATAGAGCCAAGGCTTGCCAAGTCCAGCATAGTGGCAGCCAATGGTTTGTGAGCTTGCAATAAGTGTTTATTATAAGCTACAATTTGGGGATTGTTTGTATGACAGCAAAAACTAACAAACACAGTCTGAAGTTGATAAATCAAGAATTGGAACTATAAGTATACTATTTAGAGTTAGGAGAGTTATTCATCAGGAGAGGTAGGGATGGCAACCACCAAACAAATTAAAGGTAGTTACCTCTGGAAATGCTGTTGGGGGAGAGATTATAAGTTTTTGCTTCATATCTTCCTGTCCTATTTGAATTTTGTATCCTATGTATGTATTACTTCTATATTCAAAATGTGCAAAGTACAGTGCAAACCATCCAGGAGGTGATAGGAGCTTTAAACACATAAAACATTATAGCAACAATGGGATGAGGCAGCTTATTTGTGTTGGGGGGAAAATGCTACAGATAATGAAGTTATAGGAATTCAGAAAAAAGAAAAAATCAATCTGATTGAAGAAGTTGTAGAAGGTATGGAAAATTGCACTGGAGCGGCATCCTTAGGGATTAAATAGGTGGAGGAAAGTAGGCAAGGAAGCAAATAGCATAACGAATGTGGGGAGGAGGGAACAGGGGGGTGGGTGGTGTGATTGGAGCAGAGGCTTATGGGTGAACTGTGGGCAAGAGGGCTGGGACAGGTGGAAATGGAACCAGACTGTGCAGGGCCTGGAATCCCTGGCTGATGTGTGTAGCCAGAGAATGGAAGAGGACAAGAAAATGTATTTTATAAATCTCTAAAACTCAGTCTTGACTGGAAAAATTCTGCAGTCTTCTCCCCAACCCCGTGCTATTTAACATGTTTTCTTTCTTTGGTTCTTCCTAAATGCCATCTAATCATACCATGAATTCCTATGCATTGATAGTTAAAATTGTGTCATCTTACTCCGTAAGTTGAGCCCCAAACCCAACATCTCTTCCATTTCTCTTCATTTCAGGTTCATGCCATTTGATTTGCTTTTAAGTAATGACTGCCCAAATCTGTGCCAACTAAGACTTGTTTCTATTGTCCTTGATGATTTTTGTCCCCAACTTAGGTTTTCCTTCTATCTTGACTCCTGCTTTTCTTAAAAATTTAAAAAATTTATATTTTTAAATATAACTTAAATATAAATAAATATAACATAAATATAACTTCTAACTCTTTTTAAAATTTATTTATTTATTTATTTATATTATTTTATTTATTTAAGTAATCTCTACACCCAACATGGGGCTTGAACTCATGACCCAAGAGTCACATGCTCTTCCAACCCAACCAGCCAGGTGCCCCTGACTCTCTTATCTTCAGTTTCTTAGGTTCATTTTCATTTTCAACTTCTTAGTTCCTTCTTTGCCATCATTGGCCATATGTCCAAATGGTGTCTCCTGAGCCATATCGGGGCAAGGCCGATTCCACCTGCAGTGCCTTGGGCTCTCGCTGTCTCAACCTTTTCATTCCTCCACACTTACTGACCTCAGACTCCACTGAGTCCCTGATCTATCAGTTCCCAGCATTTCTCCCATTTGTTTCCATATAAACATTGTCTCCCATAGAAATGTCCCTAGTATATCTGTGGAATTCCCAGTAAACCTGCAGTAAATCTTCCCTTTCGTCTCTGACTCAAGAAAGCGTATTGGAACGCAAGAAACCGGGGGTGACATTTTTATAGGAATAATCTGCAATCCTCTAATTTATGTTTTAAAGCTTTATTTTCAACTTCTGATTCCAGAAAAAGATGGAATAGTGAACGGAGTGCATTTCCCACTAAGAACAGCTAAAAGCCCTGGACATTTTATGTAAAACGAACATGAGAAGACTCTGAAAGGTAGGGAGAAGAAAACCATTTACTACGGGCCCCTGGGATCTGAGGGATGACAGGGCAGTGCGCTCTCTGAATTTTCTTTTGTTTTATAGACCCTGGTCTGAGTGCTGCAGAAGCTGGGAACCTGGAAACACCATGGGAACAGGCTTTTAAAAACAATAACAACAACAAAAAACAAAATACAAAACAAAACCCAAGAAATGCCTGCTCTTGCTAACTAAAGAACCAGGGAAGGGGCAACCTAGAAAACTTTTACACAGCAACTTCCCAATTCCAGCCGACCTCTGCAGAAAAAAATGCAACCTCACTCCATCCCAGTCAGCAAAGGCTGAATAGAGAGCTTGCACCTTCTCCCTTTCCCCTGTTGCGACAAGGTACCCCTAGTGACTCCCAACCCCCTGGCTGGGGTGGCGGCAGAGAAGACCAAGTGGGGAGCCAGGACTTCCATCCTGGTCCAGTTGACAGAGTGATTAGCACAAAACAAAATAAAATGACCCACGTACAAGCAAGGGCATTATGCTGAGTGGAAAAAAAAAAAAAGCCAGTCTCCAAAGGCCACATCCCGTATGATTCCGTTTATATAACATTCTTGAAATGACAAAAGTATAGAAATGGAGAACAGAGTTTGCCAGGGGTCAGAGAGACTGGGCTGGGGAGGGGTGGGTGTGACTATGAGGGGGTAGCGGGAGGAAGATCTTTTTGATGGAATAGTTCTGTATCTTGATTCTGATAGTTGTTACAGTGATAAAATGTGATAAAATTGATAAAATGGCACAGACCTATACACACCCATAATACCAATGTCAATTTCCTGGTTTTGATTTTATGCTATGTAGTTCTTTTTACGTTATAGATGTAACCAAAGGGGATGCCTGGCTGGCTCAGTCGGTAGAGCATACTACCCTTGATCTCAGGGTAGAGAGTTGGAACCCCAGGTTGGGAGTAGAGCTTACTTAAAAAAAAAAAAAATGTAACCAAAGGGGGGAAATGGACAAAAGGTACAAAGGACCTCTCTGTACAATTTTTACAACGTCCTATGAATCTATAATTATTTCAAAATAAAAAGTTTAAAGAAAGTGTTATCCTCCCATTTTCATACTTCTGATAGTCGTTAATGTTACAATCCAAATTTTCGAAGCTCTCTGCCTTCTGGGGACAATGTTGGAATTGATTGCATTTTCTGCTCCTTTGGAAGCTGGATGTGGCATGGGGTTTGATTTGGTCATTGAAATGCATGCATAAAAGAGACACTTGGGGAGGAAAGTGTAGAGACCGTTCAAAATCCAGCACGTGTAGAGAGGAGAAAGGGCCCCCACGTTCCCGAGGCTTCAAGCCCAAGAAGGCAGCTAGGCCTTCGGTGGGAAAAGCAAAACAAGAAGTGAAAAATCATAAAATGATAGCGTTTACACATTCTGCGTAATTACCACCTACTTCATGTCATTTGACTCCTGTGTGGGCTTGTGTTTGCCTATCCCTCTTTCAGTGTCACCTTCTTCTGTTCTTCCCCATCCTGTCAGGATGTTTGACACACAATTCTGTGTAACAGATCCCCTCCCTCCCCCTCCCGCCCACCACGTGGGCTCAATTATTCTTGGGCAGTTTACCCTGCTTTAGGCAATCTCCCACATGTCCCCATTACAATGAATCCTATTCTCCCTCTTTCTAGCTAATTGGGAACAAACAACTAGTCCTCATTCACAAGTTAAAAGAATATTAGCATTATTCAAATAATAGGGAGGGTCTGGTAGAAACAAGGCACTGAATTAATCATTCACTCAATGGAGCAGCGCCCCTGGTGCGCCTCTCAGGGGCCTTGGTGAGAAAAAGTCAGGGCCGGTAGACTAGTTCATGTAGGTTAGTCCACTTCATGTCTCCACTAATCTTCTAAAGGTTAATTTCTTCCATGGTAGAATCATAGAACTCATGAAAAACCCATAAAATCATGAAAAAATCCTAAATCATACCATTATCTGGCCCAAAGGTAGTGCTCCCCCCGGAGCAATACATCACAGCCGGAAGAAGCCGGTGAGTCTGGGGCATAGGACTGACGGGGAGACAGAAATAAATTGAGAAAGATTATGTCAATGTCCTAACTTTGGATTCCCAGTCTGAGTCTTTACACCCCTCTCCTTGTTGTAAGATACCCAGTTCTTTCTTGCTCTCAAGGATGTTTACCCTTTTCTACCTCATTTCCAATTCTTCTAGTGGGTAAAGTGAAGACACATTTTGAATGAGTAAGAGTGGGTAGATTGAGGGTGTGGAAGGGTTATTGTGCTTGGTTGTACAACGAGTTGCAAAAAGTGCATTTTATTACGTTTTACAGTGCAAACAGCATACTCCATTTGCTTTTGTGAAGAACTTGTTACCAGTAGATAAGGTAATATTTTCCTGGGCTACTTTGAGGCACACAGATTTTTTTCACCTATGTTTTATTGAGATAACATTTATATATCATAAAATTCATTAGTTTCAAAAGCACAATTCAGTGATTTTTAGTAAATCTAGAGTTGTGCAGCCATTACCACAATCTGATTTTAGAACATTTCCATCACTCCAAAATGATCCCTTGTTCCCTTTTGCATTGACTTCCCATCCCCAGCCCTAGACCTGGGCAACCAGTAAACTGTCTGCATAGATTTGTCTTTTCTAGATGTTTCACAGAAATGGAATCATACAATAGGTGCTCTTTTGCATCTGCCTTCACTTAGCTTAATGTTTCTGAGTTTCCTATGTGTTGTATCTTTTTTAATACAATTTTTTAAAGATTTTATTTGAGAGAGAGAGAACACAAGTGGAGGAGGAGGGGCATAGGGAGAGGGAGCCCTTCGACGGATTTGATCCCAGGACCCTGGGATCATGACCTGAGCCAAAGGCAGGCACTTAACTGACTGAGCCACCCAGGTGCCCCTACGTTGTATCTTCCATGAATATTTCATTCCATTTTATTGCTGAATAGCATTCCATTATATGGATATATCACCTTTTGTTTACCCATTCACCTGTTGCTGGACATTTGGATTGTTTCCACTTTTTGGGTGTTATGAATAATGCTGCTGGTGAATACTTCTGTACAACTTGCCATATGGGCATGTTTTCAATTTTCTTGGGTACGTACCTAGGAAATGGGATTGTTGGATCATACGGTACTTTTACGAATAACCTTTTTTAAGAAAACTTTTCCAAAGTGACTGCACCATTTCACATTCCCATCTGCAGTGTGTGAGGGATCTAATTTCTCTTTCTCCTTATCAACACTTGTCATTGTCAGTCCTTTTTATTACAGCCATTGATGAAGGTATGAAGAGCTTTCTCACTGTGGTTCTGATTTGCCTTTTTCTATAGAGACTATGTTTTGCATCTTTTCATGCTATTGTTGACCATTGAAATATTTTCTTTGGTTAAAATGTCTATTCAACTCTTTTGCCTGTTTTAAATTGGATTATTAGTTTTATTGAGTTGTAAGGGTTCTTTATATATTCTAAATACAAGTCCTTGGGGCACCTGGGTGGCTCAGTCGTTAAGCTTCTGCCTTCGGCTTGGGTCATGATCCCAGGGTCCTGAGATCAAGCCCCACATCTGGCTCCCTGGTTGGTGGGAAGCTTGCTTCTCCCTCTCCCACTTGCCCTGCTTGTGTTCCTTCTCTCGTTGTGTCTCTCTCTGTCAAATAAATAAATAAAACCTTTAAAAAAAATAAAAAATAAAGTCCTTATCAGATACATGATTTGCAAGTCTTTTCCACCTAGATACAGTATTTTATTTTTTTGTTATAATATTTTTAAGAGATACAAACTTCAAAGTGAAGTTTCCTTTAGGTACCCTTACCAGGCCAACCATCATTTACCTTGTTTCAAGATAATTATAGAAGTACCTTTAAAAAGCAACTTCTAACTTTTATTTTAGAATATTTGGAAAATGTGGATAAGCACAAAACAAGGGAGTTCCAGAGATAATCCTCGGTAACATCTTTTTGCTTACAGCCTTTTGCTTCTTTCTGTGACATATACAGCATTTATTAAAAAAAAATAAAAATGGGACCATTTAAATAATAGTATCAACATTACTCTCAATCATTCCAGCTCTTGGATGGCAAGCAGGATATAAAGACCTCTGGATGATTTTATTTTTTTTATTTTTTTATTTTTTAAAGATTTTATTTATTTATTTGAGAGAGAGAGAATGAGAGCGAGTACATGAGAGGGGGGAGGGTCAGAGGGAGAAGCAGACTCCCTGCCGAGCAGGGAGCCGGACGCAGGACTCGATCCCGGGGCTCCAGGATCATGACCTGAGCCGAAGGCAGTCGCTTAACCAACTGAGCCACCCAGGCGCCCCAAGACCTCTGGATGATTTTAAAGTAAAACATTAATTTATTAAAATAACTCTTGGTTATGCCTCGTGTGAGTGATAGAGGACGAGGGTTGGGTCTTCTCTTCAGAGGAAGGTTACGGCTGGGTTAATGGAACTAGTGCTAGAGCGGAGTGTTTCCCAAGGAGGTACCGTGGAAGGGCCCCTCTCAGAGCACGACGAAGGAGAGTCTTCCCCAAACAATCCCCATTCCGCAGGGGGCCGGGGCGTTTTGTGTCCCCCCAAGGCCTGGCTGCCTCTTCCGGCGGTGCCGGTCGGCGGCCTCGCCTCTCACCGCCCACCCTCGTCCTGGAACTCCTGCATCCCCGCCGCCTGGCGCGGGGCTCAGAAGGGCCGCACGAAGGTGCCGCCGACAGTCCTCCAGCTCCAAGTGCTCTTCGGCCCCACCCGGGTCCGGAGCAGACCTTGCGCTCGCTCGGCCCGGGGTCGATCCAGAACCTCCTCGGCGAGGTGAGGGGCACCTTCATTTCCTCCCACCCGGTGATCTGCTCGACGTGAAACGGCCCCAATTTTATTTTACTTGCTGCGCTAGCCTCTTTGTCCGTACACAGGTTTAGGTGGAGGCCACCGGCCGGGGCCGCACCGCCGAGCCGCTCACAGACGGAGCTTCCCGCCCGGGGACAAGGCCGGCCGCGCGGCCCGGAGCCCCCCGCCGCGGCAGCGCGGCGCCTCGGCTCCCCGCCTCCCCGCGGGTCAGGCAAGCAGGGGTGGAGGCGCCGAAACGACGGAGCCCCCCTCCCCCGCGCCATCGGCCCCGAGGGAAGCGCCGCGACCCCGAGGTGGGCTCGCCGCAGGGGCGGGGGACGGCGCATCCGGGTGAGCGCGCGGCGCCCCCGCCTCCCCCGCGCAGCCGCACGGGCCGCCGCCGCTGCCGCCGCTGAGCACGCCGCGCGCTGCGAGCACTGCGCCCGAGCGGCCTGCGCGGGCGGCCTTGCGGCCCCGGCCCGCCGCGTGAGGGGGCCCCGAGCGAGCGCCAGCGGCGGCGGCATGCGGGGCGGCCCGGAGTAGCGCGCCGAGCCTACGAGGCCCGGCGCGGAGGCGGGGGCGGGCGCGGCGGAGGCGGGGCCCGCGGCGGGCCCGCCCGCCCGCCGGGGGAGCCGCCGGCAGTGGCCGAGGAGGCGGCGCGGCGGACGGCGGCCCGAGAGTAGCGCCCGCGCTGCGGCCCGCGGGACCGCGCCGCGACCGCCCGGGCCGGCCCCGAGGAGCGCCCGCCGCCGCCGCCGCCGCCGCCGCCGCCGCGTGCGGACCGAGGTGAGTGTCCGCCCGCGCCCGGGCCGTCCCGGAGCCCGGGCCGCTAGCGCGGGGCCGGGGGGGAGGAGGAGGAGGCCCGGCCGCGTCCGCGTCCGCGTCTCCCGTCCTTTGTGGCCGGCGCTGCCGGGGCCGGGGCGCGGGCGCGCTTGGCGCGGGGTCCGAGTCGGGGACTCCGGGGCTGCCGGACACGCGGCGCCTCTGGTTGGCAACTGCGGCGAGCAGCGAGTTTCCGTCCTAGTTTGTCATTGAGTTAGAACCGTTTTTCTTTAGAAGACGGAAGTTTGTTTTATTGACGAGAAACACAGCTAAATATGGCTCCTGGGTCCGGCCCGGCCGTGTGGTACTTGGAGCGGTGGTGCCAGGCTGACCCTCGCCCGGCCGGCGCGACGGGGGAGGGGAGGACACGCGGGCGGCCCGGGGCGGGGGCTTCCCGGCGCACTGCCCGCGCTGGGGACCCGGCCCTGGTTTAGCAAAGATCTGTGGATGGGAAGTAGCGGGCTTTAGGTAATGTGGCAGTTCTTCCTGGAAGAATGAATGAATGAAATGTTATTTACTCATCCACAGTCAACACAGTGCCCATTTAAAGATTTGCCGGGAATCGTGATGATGTGCATTGTCATTGCCTGATCACCCTGGCTAAGTGAGGGTCCTCCCTCCTCCAAACTTATGACCTTGGCCTCATTCTCAAAGCCACTGAGCTAACCAGCCCTTCAACCAAAAGCGCTTGGCATTTTCTGGCAAGTATGGGCAATAGGCAAAGTAGTCTTTGGGATTGTGAACTGTTTCTGGAGGGCAGAGAATCTTACCTTAAATCATACCTTCTGCTTCGTACATTAATTTATAATAATAACTGTCAGGAACCCTGAGAAGGGGTGTGGGGGGGGGCAGGGGGTCTTGTCCTCATTTCACAGAGGAAGAAGTTGAGGCCTTAAGAAGTTGTAACTTTACAGGTCACAAGCTAAGCAGCAGAGTTGGGATTCAAACCTAGGCTTTATTAATTCGATACTCTTTATCTTATCTTTGTCTAGACCTGGGTTGTCCATTGTGGTAGCTACTAACCACATGTGGCTATTAAAGTTAATTTAAAAATCATTTGGCTCCTCAGTTGCACTAGCCTCATGTCAAGTGTTCAGTAGCCAGATGTAGCTGGTGACTACTATTGAACAGTACTTATCAGGACCTTGCATCCATTTATTTATTACGAAAATAAGTATTGAGTGCTGTCTGTGAGGCATAGTTTAAGTCTTGTGTGTACTGTGGTGAATGAGAGAGACAGAATGTCCTCGCCCTTTTGGAGCTTGCTTTTTACATGATAGTTTGAGTGATGTTTCCATGGTACTTGAGAGCCTTGCTAATTCAAACCGGTCTGTGAACCAGCAGCAGCATCCCTGTCTTCTGGAAGTTTGGAAGAAATGCAAAATCTCAGGTCCCAAACCACATCAACTGAATGAGTACCTGTTAAAGTGATTCATCAGATCACAGGTGATAGCTTACAGATCTATCTCAGGTGATTTGTTCACATTGAAGGCCTTAATCAGAACACCAATGAATAGTTGTCAGGATGGATTGTTTGGTAGGGCTTTATTTTATTTTTTTAAAGATTTTATTTATTTATTACAGAGAGAATGAGTGCCTGCGAGCATGAGTGGGGTGAGGGGCAGAGGGAGAAGCAGACTCCCCGCTGAGCAGGGAGCCCGATGTGGGGCTCCATCCCAGGACCCTGGGATCCTGACCTGAGCCAAAGGCAGACGCTTAACTGACTGAGCCACCCAGGCTCCCCTTCCCTTGGTAGGGCTTTTAAGAAGCAGGTTCTAAAACTCTTGGGAACCCTCACCATTTATGCAAATATTTATTAAATGCCTGGCTTCTCCAATAGAATATAAGCTTTATGAGAGCAGAGATTGTGTCTTCCTTTTCTAGCCATGTATCCCCAAAGATTTCACAGTGCCTGGCAAGAAGTAGGCACTCAGTAAATGCTTGCTGATTATATGAAAGAGCTTGCTAGGAAGCCAGAACTGGTTGTGAAACTCAAGCAATTGCAATCAAGTTAGTTCTCATGGCATCAGGTAAGAGCATGGGACCAGAGTCAAAAACGAAGCTCTTTGTGGTTTTTCAACTCCAAGCTCCCAACTGCTGTGGCCTGAGTTTCACTCTTGGCTCACTTGCAAGTGCCCTGTCTCTTTCTCTTTTTTAATAAGATAATATTAACGTATTTAAATCTCAATCATATGTTAATCCCGTATATATATATGTGTGTGTGTATGTATGTATACACACATATGTATATAAATGTATTTTTTTAAACCAGATTCCAGACTTTATTTGGATTTTACCAGTTTTTCCATTAATACTCTCTTTATGTTCCAGAATCCAGTCCAAGGTACCACATTGCATTTAGTAGTTATGTCTCCTTAGTCTTTAGTCTGTGGCAGTTTCTTTCTTGTTTTTCATAACTTCGGTTGTGTTGAGGAGTACTAGCTCTCTGATGGGCTGCTTTCTGTAGACCAGGTAGGATCATCCAGTTCTGGGAAAAGGCTGTCGTATTCAGGAAAATAAGGCTGTGAAAGGAATGACTCTTTCTGCTTTTGTTTGTTTATGTAATATATACATCTATTATGCTTATGTAACAACATACAACTTTAGTACTTTTTTTCAGTAACAGATTTCTTGGGATACAGTTCCTCATTGGTTGAGATTCAGAAGAGTATTACAGCACTGTGATCCGCTATTTTAGAATACACTGAGTTTTTTTGTGATGGGGTAAGAGCTGGGCTGAGGTGGAGGAGCAAGGGAAAACAGTAGGTGAGAGAGGGACCAAGGCGGATGGAGTGACAGATAATGGAGGAAGGCGAGGGAGCAGCTGTGCAGAAGAGAACCAGGAGTGAGTACTTACTGTTTGCTCACTTATTCAGTTAATATTTATTGAGTGCTTATTGTGTGCCAGCCCCAGCTAGATAGTCAAGATATCTGAAAGTGGGGCAGCATTAAGCAAATAAGCATGCGGATAAGTATATAATGATTGCCACTTAGATGAGTGCTGTAAAGAAAAAGTAAAGGATGTTGGAGAGAATGTGGGTGGTGGGAACTGCTCTTTTCGGTTGGCTGGGTTGGTGAGGAAGGCTTCTTTGAGTAAGCGACATTTGAACTCCTCTCTGTGACTTTTGGGACCTTCCATAATTACTCCACAGTGCTTGTTCCATAGTTCTCTTATTTCACAACACACACATGCCTCGTTCTCCATAGGAACTGTGCTTATTTCTAGCTCTGTATCTTTATATATGATTTCTTCCCAAGATGCCCCTCTTTCCTCCGCTTGTGGAAGTACTATCTCTTGTTGAAGGATTTGCTTAAATCCCATCTCCTTTATGAAGTCTTGCACTGTTGATTTATGCCTCTGTCATTCTACTTAAGTGTATGGTGTTTGAGGGTAGGGAAAATATTTTACACTTCTATCTGTATGTCTTCACTTAGTCCAGCACAAAGCCAAGATTAATAAAGGGTTGTTAAGAGGCTAGATCCATTCCAGAGTGTTAATATTTGGGTGATAAACCGTAGAGCAAGTGAGTGAAGGTCCAATTTTTTTTTTTAATTTAAAGATTTTATTTATTAATTTGGCAGAGAGAGAGAGCACACAAGCAGGGGGAGGTGCAGGCAGAGGGAGAAGCAGGCTCCCTGCTGAGCAGGGACTGGATCCTGGGGCCCCAGGATCACCCGAGCTGAAGGCAGATGCTTTACCAACTGGGCCACCCAGGCATCCACAACTTTTTTTAATTAAACTTTTTGTGGCATAATTGTAGATCCACATGCAGTTATAAGAATTCAGAAAGATCCTATGTACCTTTTACCCAGTTGCTCCCAGTGGTATCATTTTGTAAAACTGTGGTACAATATCAGATCCATGACAGTATCACTGATACAGTCAAGATACGGAACATTTCCCTTACAAGGTTTCTGCATGTTGTTCTATACCCACACCCACTTGCTTCCTACTGCTACCTGCTCCTTAAGCCCTGACAATCACTAATCTGTTCTCCATTTCTGTAATTATGTCATTTCAAAAATGTTTTGTAAATGGAATCATACAGTAAGTACCTTTTGGAATTGGCTTTTTTCACTCAGTGTAATTGTCTAGAGTTTCATTCAGGTGGTTGTGTGTATTGATAGTTGATTCTTATGTATTGCTGAGTAGTACTTTACAGTAGGGATGTACTTTTATGGTTCTTTGAACCATTTATCTTTTGAAGGACATCTGGTTGTTTCTAGTTTTTGCTATTACAGCACCCTTTGTTGAAAAGGCAACATCTTTCCTCCATTGAATTGGTTGTATCTTTGTAAAAAATCAGTTGGGTATATATGTATGAGTCTATTCCTGGGTTCTCTGTCCTGTTCCATTGATCTGTGTGTCTGTCCCTCCACCACTATCACACAGTCTTGGTTATTGTGCTGTATAATAAGTCGTAAGTTGGTGTAGACTGATTCCTTCCACATCTTTTTCAGAATTGTTGTAACTGTTTTTGTTTCTTTGCCTATCCATGTAATTTGTAGAATAATCTTGTCTATATTTACAAAAAAATCTTGCTGGGATTTTTTTTTTTTTTTAATTCTTATGTTAATCCCCATACGTTACATCATTAGTTTTAGATGAAGTGTTCCATGATTCATTGTTTGTGCATAACACTCAGTGCTCCATGCAGAATGTGCCCTCCTCAATACCCACCACCAGGCTAACCCATCCTCCCACCCCCCTCCCCTCCAGAACCCTGTTTGTTTTTCAGAGTCCATCGTCTCTCATGGTTCATCTACCCCTCCGATTTCCCCCGCTTCATTCTTCCCCTCCCGCTATCTTCTTCTTCTTCTTGTTTTTTTTCTTAACATATATTGCATTATTTGTTTCAGAGGTACAGATCTGAGATTCAACAGTCTTGCACAATTCACAGCGCTTACCAGAGCACATACCCTCCCCAGTGTCTGTCACCCAGTCACCCCATCCCTCCCACCCCTCTTGCTGGGATTTTGATAGGAATTGCAGTAGACCTGTATATCAATCTGGGGAGGATCGACATTTTAGTATATTGCGCCTTCCAATCTATAAGCATGGTATGTCTTTCCATTTATATCTTCTTTGATTTTTTTTTGAGTAGCATTGTGTAGTTTTTTTTTTTTTTTTTTTTAGATTTTTATTTATTTATTCATGAGAGACAGAGAGAGAGAGAGGCAGAGGGAGAAGCAGGCTCCCAAGGAGCAGAGAGCCCGATGTGGGACTCGATCCCAGGACCCTGGGATCATGACCTGAGCCGAAGGCAGACGCTTAACCATCTGAGCCACCCAGGCGCCCTAGCATTGTGTAGTTTTATCATACAAGTCTGTTTTGTTAAATTTTTTTGTATTTGTTATGTTAGATTTACATTTTTATTTCAAACAATTGAAAATGATACTGTATTTTAAATTTTGGTGTCTGTGGGTTGATTGCTAATGTAGAGAAACATTAACTTTCATATGTCGATCGTGTATTCTGCAATCTTGCTGAACCCATTTATTCTAGGAGTTTTTTTGTAGATTCCTTGTGATTTTCTAAGTAGATAACTATGTCATGTATACATAGCGGCAGTTTTCTTTCTTTTCAGCATGCCTTTAATTTCCTCTTCTTGCCTTCTTGCACTGGTTAAAGCTTCCAGTACTGTGTTGAATAAAGATAGTGAAGAGGACATCTTTGCTTTGTTCCTGATTTTAGGGGGAAAGTATTTAGCTTTTCACCTTGTTTTGGGCCAGTCTCAGCTTATCTACAGTGACACTGTTGGCTAGAAATGCCTGGGAGCACTCACCTGGTGAGCCCCCACAGAGATTTCCCCTTTTGGAGCCAGAGTTGTGGCTGTACTGGCTCTTGTGGTTCTCCTTATGATTGCAAGACTTCATGGGTGGGGCAGCCTGGCTCTTTATCTAATTGTTTAGCTGGCATTGTGTTTATTCAAGATGGACGTCTTTCAGGTGGGTGCCTGGACAATCAAAAGCTTAATGTCAAGCATTTATACTATCAGAAAAGCTAATTATCAGGCACCTACACTACACACTATTGAGTATAGTATTAACTGTAGGTTTTTTTGTAGATGCTCTATCAAGTTGGGGAAGTTGCCCACTATTCCTGTCTTGAGAGTTTTTATCATGAGTGGGTGTTGAATTTTGCCAAGTGCTTTTTGTACATTAATATGGTATGTGATTTTCCTTCTTTAGCCATGAATGCGATGGATTATTTTGATTGATTTTTGAGTTGATCCAACATTGCATCCCTGGAATAAACCCCACTTGGTCATGGCGTATAATTCTATATATTGCTGAGTTCTATTTACTAATATTCTGTTAAGGATTTTTTGCATTTAAATTCATGAGGGCATTTAGCACTATAAATTTCCATCTCAACATTGTTTCAGCTGAATTTGTCCCACAAATTGTGATACATTGTGGGTTTTTTTGTTTTTTTTTTTAATTTATCTTGAGATTTCTTCTTTCACCCATAGTTATTTAGAAGTATGTTGTTTAGTTTCCAAGTTTTGGAGATTTTATTGTTATCTTTGTGTTGATTTCTAGTTTGATGCCATTGTGATTGGAGAACACACTGAATCATGTGATTTCAGTTTTAAATTTGTTGAGGCTCCTTTTGTGACTCAAAATATGGTCTGTCTTGCTGTATATGTTCTGTGGATATTTGAATAGAATATGTTTTCTGCTATTGTTGAGTGGATTGTTCAGTTAGATCCTGTTGGTTGTGTTGTTGATCTCTTCTATACCCTTGTTGGTTTTCTGTCTGGATAGTCTGTCAGCTTTTGAGAGAGTGGTGTTGAAGTCTCCTATATTTGTAATTTGTCTATCTCTCCTTTTACGTTGTATCAGTTTTTACTTTTATATATTTTGCAGCTCTCTGGTCATACACGTCTAGGGTTGCTTTGTTTTCTTGGTGGATTGACCCTTTCTATCATTATATAATGTTCTTTGTCTCACTAGTGATTTTCTTTGCTCTGAATGCTATTTTATCTGATAATAATATTACCACTACTTTTCTTTTTCTTTTGATTTTCTTTAACTGTTTGGGAAATAGATATTTTTCTATCCTTTTACTTTTAACTCACCTGTACTGTTATATTTGAAGTCAGTTTTTTTGTAGACAGCATATTGTTGGGTCATGCCTTTTTTAAAATTTTTTAGAAGTTTTTATTATTTATTAGCAAACACACATGAGCAGGGGGAGAGAGAGAAGCAGACTCCCTGCTGAGCAGGGAGCCCAATTGGGGACTCAATTCCAGGACCCTGGAATCATGACCTGAGCTGAAGGCAGACGCTTAACTGACTGAGCCATCCAGGCACCTGGGTCAGTGTCTTTTAATCCATTCTGCCAATTTCTGTCTTTTCATTGATACATTTAGGCCATTTACATTTAATGTAATTATTTTTCTGTTAGGACTTAAGTCTCCCATTTTTTTGTTTGTGCCTTCTGTTTTTTGTTTCTCTGGGTATTTTTTCCCTTGACTTACTGTAGATTACTTGAACATTTTTTTGAAAATCCATTTTGATTTATTTATACTGTTTTTGAATATATTTCTTTGTATGCTTCTTTAAAAAATTTTTTTAAATGGTTCTTGATATTATATCATATATATACACAACTTATTGTGTTCTGGTGTCATCATTTTACTTGTTCAAGTGAAGTATAGGAATCTTACTTCCTCTTACATCCCTTTATCCTCCCCAATTAAAAAAAAAATTTTTTTTTATAAGATTTTATTTATTTGCGAGAGAGAGAATGAGAGACAGAGAGCATGAGAGGGAGGAGGGTCAGAGGGAGAAGCAAACTCCCTGCTGAGCAGGGAGCCTGATGTGGGACTTGATGCCGGAACTCCAGGATCATGACCTGAGCCGAAGGCAGTCGCTTAACCAGCTGAACTACCCAGGCGCCCTACCCTCCCCAATTTTAATACAATTGGAAATATTTCTTCTACATACAATTGGAAGTACATTAGACAGTGTTACGGATTTTGCTTCTACAGTCAAACATAAATAAGAAAACAAGGGGAGAAGGAAAGTCTATTACTTTTATTTTTGCTTACTGGGTTTTCTCTTGATTTCTCAAGGTTCATTATTTTGTCATTTCTTTTTCGTTTTAAGAACTTTCCTTGGCCATTCTTTAGGGTGACAGTGCCAGTGACAGATTCTTAGTTTTTCTTTGTTTGAGAATGTCTTGATTTCTTCTTTATTCCTGAAGGATACTTTGGCTGGATGTAGGATTCTATCTTGTTCTTTTCTTTCAGCACTTGAAAAATGTGGTACCACTTCTTTTGGCCGCTGTAGTTTCTAATGAGAAATTCATTGTCCCTCACTTATCCCTCTGTGGTTAAGGGGTCACTGTTGTCAGGATTTTGGTGTGTGTTTTTTTTTTTTTTTAAGATTTTATTTATTTATTTGACAGAGAGAGAGAGACAGCGAGAGAGGGAACATAAGCAGGGGGAGTGGGAGAGGGAGAAGCAGGCTTCCCACAGAGCAAGGAGCCCGATGCAGGGCTCGATCCCAGGACCCTGGGATCATGACCTGAGCCGAAGGCAGATGCTTAAGATCTGAGCCACCCAGGCGCCCCTTGGTGTTCTTTTTTTAACTTTAGTTTTCAAAGGTTTAATTATGCTACATCTTGGTGTGGATCTTTTTGAGTTTATCCTGTTTGGGGGTCACTCAGGTTCCTGAATCTGTAGGTTTATGTCTTTTGCCAGATGTGGAAAAATTTTCATCATTATTTGAGTACATTTTCAGTCCTCTCTCCTTCTCCTCTCTTCTCAAGACTGATGACTTGAATGGTAGATTTTTATTATGATCCCACAGGTCCCTAAGTCTGTCCATTTTTTCTTCCACAGTCAAACATAAATAAGAAAACTCAAGGGGAGAAGGAAAGTCTGTTTACCTTTATTTTTGCTGTTGTTCTGTCTTCTAGTTTAATGTCTCTTCTTCCATTCTGCTGTTGAGCCCATCCACTTATCTTGTATTTCTTTTCTAAGGTTATTTATTTTTAATTTGTTTCAAGCATTTTTGAAATTATTTGTTGAAGCATTTCTGCCATAGCTGCCTTATAATCATTGGCAGAATTTCCAACAAGTCTGTTATTATGGTTTTGGTGTCCACTGATGTCTTTTTCATTGAATTTGAGTTTATTCTAAGTTTTGGTATGATGGGTTTGTTTTTTTTTTTAATTAAAACCTGGAAATTTTCATATTCTACTAAATTTTGGATCTTAGTTAAGCCTCTGTTTTATAACTGGCTTTTTTTGACACCACTCCAGTAGGGGAAAGGGACAGACAGCATGTGGTGCTCCATTGTTATTGCTTAGAGGAATTAGGTTTGCAGGCTCCCCACTTAACCTTTCTTGACCTAGAAGTGGAGTGTTTTGTTTGCCAGGTGGGGGTAGAGGTCCAGGATTTCTGGGGTGATGGTGTGGAAGGGTGCCTTGATACCAGCTGACATTGATGAAAGCCTGGGCTCTCTACTTGGCCTTCTCAGCATCATCCTAATGTGGAGGGGGTTGAGGTGCCTTGTTAAACCTTGGTGAGAATATGGAAGGCTAAGCTGCCCACCTGGCCTAGGTGCGACCACAGTTTTTTCTGTGGTGTTTGAGGTAGAGTGATTTTTTTCTGTAAGAGTTTTCTGTCTTGCTAGGAAGTCCCATTTCTAGTCCTTTGGCTAGAAGGAGCAGGCTTTTGTTGGGGCTTTTTTTGTCTGTGCTTCTTGGCATTTCCAGGTTGCCAGCTTATTTGGCTCCAAGTCTGGGATATATGAGGCAAAAATAAAACCCAGGAAACTCACCATTGTGTTGTTCCTCAGGTTCTGAGGTCCCTAGCCAGCCTACCTTCTCCTCTGCACACTTAAGAGTCTTATGTTTGTTTTATATGTAATACTCAGAATTTTTAGTCATACTTAATGGGAGGAATAGGGAAAAGTACATCTACTTCATCTTCCCAGAAGCAAACATCCCTGAAAGACCAGTTTTTAACAATCCCCTTTTGTCATAGGCTGATTCTTTTCTAACATACTTAAAAAATGAATTACATAGTGAAATAAAAAACTTATGATATATAACTCAAATTTTTTAAATCATTAGATTTTGTAGATCTAAAATTTTTGTCAGATTGCTATGAGTTTATAAATGCTTACTCTCAATCTCTGCACATACCTTTTCATGGAGTAGGCACAAGCAGTTTGCTCTCTAGGAACTACACTTTGACTAGCATTGCCTTGGATATTACTACTTGATTCTTCCTGAAGTTATAAATCAGTGATTACCAATTCAACTTAATTTCTGCTCTGCTGTTTTCCTTGTATTTTTATAGATATGTCCTCAGTGTGAAACCTTTTTTAGTCCTTAAGGAGAAGGAATGTTCGGGATTGTTTAGGGCAGCTGTAGCAATGGTGATGAGTGTTGAGAGTGCATCTCTGGTTTTATGGGACCCATTTCTCCTTTAATTTTCATAATTCTTCAAATTTGTTATAAATTATAAAGTAAGTTCTTATAAGTGCTTATAAGAATCTTTTGCAGTCGTTGCAATTTATGACTTCTGAGGCTACGTAGAGAATGTATGATTGTTTTTGGTTCTGTAAAGATGTCTAAGTGTAGGCTTCAGAATGTTTTTGTTGCTGCTGACAACCTCCGCTGCAGGACAGACACTAAGGGGCACTAGGCGAAGCCTTCTGGGGAGCCATGAGGTGATTTAAAGACTGTTCTCAGGTTAAGATGTCATGATTTTCGCTACATTTTTGTGTCTTTGGTAGTTACGATTTCCTTCTCACGAAAAAAAAGTTTATTTGAAGTAATAGTTCAGTTATTAAAAGGAGCTGATTTTACATTGCATTGGGAGAGCCACGTGTTCAGTTACTGGGTTGTTCTT